CTATAGGCGCCAAGCCAGGATTTTTTTTTTTTTTTTTTTTAAGTATACTTTCGGCAAAAGCTTTTACTAGGATCTGGATATCTCTCTTCTCTGCATAACTTTTTCTAGGACTTAAATCAATGAAATAATGGTTGTTTTTTAAAAGCAAGATACTGAACTCATTTAATATTTGCTCTTGTCATTTTTAAAGGCTAAAGCAGTAGCTGCAGAATCTAATGCAACCTTCTTTAATATAAGTGCTGCAAGCTTAACTTCAAAATATGTGAGTGCTCTTTTTCCAACATTGTTGTGTTTTTTTTAATTGTCATGTTTTAAGTTATGTTACTTTAGCAGTGTTGCTATGTTAACAACTTCAAGAAAAATACTTTTCTGTAAGTTTTATATCTGTTATTTATATGTGATTAATATCAATCTTCAAAGTAGAAACTCTTCATTACTCTTAAAATTAGAATTGTATTTTCTTTCTTTTTTGAGAAAGTTTTACTATGTCACCCTTGCTAGAGTGCTGTGGCCTCACAGCTCATAGCAACCTCAAACTCTTGGGCTTAAGCAATTCATTTGCCTCAGCCTCCCAAGTGGCTGGAACTACAGGTTCCCACCACAACAAGAATTGTCTTTTCAAATACTGTATTGATTTGCTAACACCGTGTAACCAAATACCATAAAGTGACTGGCTTAATCATCAGAAACTTAACTGTCTCATAGTTATAGGGGCTAGATTTTCAGATCCAAGTATTGTCAGAGTTAGTTCCTTCTGAGCGCTGTGGAGGAGAATGTGTTATGTGCATCTGACCTAGTTTCTGGGCATTTGCTAGCAATCTTAGGCATTCTTTGGTTTGTAGATACATTACTCTGATTTCTTCTCATATGGCCTTCTCCATGTATGTACGTCTGTCTCTGTGTCCAAATTTCCCCTTTGGATTAGGGGCTACCCTGATGACTTCAAATTAGTCATCTATACAGACCTTACTTACAAATAAGGTCACATTTATAGATACTGTGGATAGGAGTTCAACATGATTTGGGGGAACACAATTCAATTTAGATATCACCACTTTCCACTTAAGCTTTCACGTCAAGTGGGTTTTATCTCAATGAGCCACCAAAGGTGAGAAGGGAAGGACTCGGGGTATAAACTATTTCTGGCTTTCTGATTCTGAACTAAAATATGACAGAAGATTTTTTTCTGGTGCCTTTGGATATTTTATACTATAGTTTTGGGGGTTTTTTCCCCTTCACTCTCTGTTGTCCCTATAGTAGTATTCAAAGAAGTGCTGTGTCTAGCTTTGAGGTTGGGCAAGAATGACTGCACAACTGAAAGAGTAATTTGTCTAGTGTGTGAATAAAACTAGTGAATTGCAAATCAGTGAAGCAGGTGGTTTCTGTCAAGCCTTATTCTGCTTTGTCTTTCTTTCCTGGTCTTTCCCTTTCACTTGTCCTATTCTATATTTGCCTCTTGTAACACCTTTAAGGTAAAAGTATTTTGCCAAACTTAAACTGAAATGGGAATCTCTGATGAAAGAATATATTACCTATAATAGTTTCAGGTTTGGACATTTGGTATATTGGAATCCAGAAATGGTTATTATATCTGGGCATTCTCCTTCTGTGAGGCTTAGAGGGCAACTTTACTGTCTTGAATCTGTCATGGTCTTTAGATTTGCAGAGAAATAAACTTGATTTGAGAGATGATCTATCTGTTAGGAACAAGCAAGATATCAGAATTGTCTAGCTGGCACAAAAAGCATATTATCTCCCCATAATTAGATCTATCAGGTTGTATAATGGGCAATGAGTTAAAGAAAGGCAAATTTGACAAATTGATCATAGTTTGAGTATTTGGTGGGCTCCATCCCTAGTGAAATAGCCTTGTCATGGGATCTATAGTTTTTGTTTGTTTGTTTGTTTTGTATGTTTGTTTGTTTTGTTGAGACACTTGCCCAGGCTAGTGTGTCATGGTATCAGCCTACCTCATAGCAACCTCAAACTCCTGAGTTCAAGCTATCCTCCTGCCTCAGCTTCCCAAGTAGCTGGGACTGCAGGCACCCACCACAACATCTTGCTAATTTTTCTATTTTTTAGTAGAGATGGGGGTATCACCCTTGCTCAGGCTGGTCTTGAACTCTGGACCTCAAGCAGTCTGCCTGCCTCAGCTCCCAAAGTGGTAGAATTACAAGTGTGAGCCACTGCGCCAGGCCTGGATCCATAGTTTTGGAAGTCTGTTTGCTAAGTCTCCCTCTCCCTGAACAGTGGTCCTGGTGAATTATGCTTTTTCCTGCTGTAGGACTTACAGGGTTTCTTTTATCAGGACCACTATCTTCTGGTTAATTTGTATTCATTCTTCATATTTCAGTTGGAATGTTAAGATTCTTCCTTGTCTCTCCAAACTAATTCCCCTTATTAACCTCATAGCCCTATTTACCTTTCATTTATCATACTCATCGAAACTGTAATTCATGGATGGGGATGGTCACTCACTCCTGTAATCCTAGCACTCTGGGAGGCCAAGACAGGAAGATCACTTGAGTTCAGGAGTTTGAGACCAGTCTGAGGAAGAGCAAGACCCTGTCTCTACTAAAAATAGAAAAACTAGTGGGGCATTGTGATGGGCGCTTGTAGTTAGTGAAACTGTCTCCTCCCCCCCAAAAAAGTTACTATAAAGTAATAACCTCGTTTCCTGATCACATCTTGCTTCCTATGTGAAATTTTAGAAGTAAAGTTACTAGGCTGGGTGCAGTAACTCACACCTGTAATCCTAGTACTCTGAGAGGCTGAGGTGGGAGGATTGCTGAGCTCAGAGATTCAGGACCAGCCTGAGCAAGAGCAATACCCTATATCTCTACTAAAAATAGAAAAATAAGCTGGGTGAAGCTCAGTTGTAATCCTAGCTGCTTGGAAGGCTGAGGCAGGAGGATTGTTTGTCCAGAAGGTTTGAGGTTGCTGTAAGCTACTGTGACACCACTACACTCTATCTAGGGTGTCAGAGTAAGACTGTGTCTCAGAAAAACCCAAGAAAACAGTTAATGTTATAAGAAATTATCTCTTAAGATTTCTTTCACATCTGAGAATATTTGTATTGATGATTCTAGATCCGGGACCATTCCTTTTATTTATTTGTTTTTAAGTGAAATTATTAAAAAAAGAATAATTGCCACCTAGAAGACAGAAGAGTTTACAGTAGATTATTACAGAGCTCACTAGATGCTTCCTTAGATGCTTCAGGGGGACCTTAGTATGCGTCATAAATCATGAAATTTAAAAAGCTGGAATAACGTATTTTATAACAATATATAATGTCTTGCTTTAGGTGGGAGAAGGAGAGAAATTGGTGAGAGCTCTTTTTGCTGTGGCTCGAGAACTTCAACCTTCTATAATTTTTATAGGTAAGAATGTGTTTTCCAACTAAATTAGTTGAATATTTGTGAAATTCCCCTCTCCAAAGATAAGAGGTATGATAGGAAAAATTATTCAGAAGAAAAAAATTGGAAAGAAGGATGACGTTAAAGACTGTCTAATCAATCCAGTAAGACCCACTGTATTAGTAACTTATATACTAAACTAGAGTAATCTCAGATGACTGAACTCACATAGCTCAGCCTTTATAATTAAAGTCTTTTTATTTCCTCTAGATGAAGTTGATAGCCTTTTGTGTGAAAGAAGAGAAGGGGAGCATGATGCTAGTAGACGTCTAAAAACTGAATTTCTCATAGAGTTTGATGGTGTAAGTATTGATTATAACACTTTTATCTAGCAGGATTTTGGTACATACTTTCCTATTACCACATTTAGAAACACAGATATCTTTATTTATTAATATTATTTTATCTAAAAGTATTGAAAAAAGTATATTTTTGGCTTATAGGTTCAGTCTGCTGGAGATGACAGAGTACTCGTAATGGGTGCAACGAATAGGCCGCAAGAACTTGACGAGGCTGTTCTCAGGTAGGCAGATTTTTTTGGAAATACATACATTTAGTATAGATACAGTTACTCATGTGTTCATCATAGTTCTTACTTCCTTTACTCCCAGTTTGAAGACTTAAATTCATTATCTTCCTCTCTACTATCCTATAGCCTCTTATTACCACCTAAATAAGCATTTTGAGGTCAGGTCCAAAATGATATCAGGAGAACTAGTCTTTGTGGTTTTGGGCAAATTGCTTATTTCTTTTTTTTTTTT